ACTCCTCGAGGGATCGTTTCTTTTCAGAAAGTTGAGTTTTATAGTCTTGTGGAGGTTGCTGAACATTCTCTTGTTGTTAGTATAACAGACGTTCTCATGATTTCTCCATTCTGTGTCTAATTCCATTTGTAGTCAAAATTTTTTGTTATTTACATATTAAGCCTACTCGATTATTGGCTCCTAATGATAGGAATGTGTATCTTACTTTACTACTGCCACTAACTCATTTTATTGAGAAGTTCATGACCCTACAAGTTTAGATACATTAGTAGGCATAGTGTCAACTTTAGCGCGTAAGGAACTTATCTCATCAATTCCATAAACTTCAACAATTCTTTTGACATTAGATCTCTCACTAGGTCATTGATAACTATTGACCGGCATATCCTCCAGTAAGATGTAATCATTCTTAGGTGTTCCGATTAATAAAGTGGCTCCAACTATAACATCCAATATAGTCCTTGTTTGTCCATTTAATTCGTTGTAAAACATCTGAATTTTGAACCAATCTAGGTAATTGTGTCATGGGCATTTTCTCAAAAGAAAGAATTTTTACTAGGAAACATGAAGACACACAACCATCAAGAAACAAAGATAGCCAAGTATGACCAAACTTATCAAATGATTTAATTTCTTCATCAGACCCATCAATATGCGAGAAGTCCAATCTGAATATTATGGGTTAAACGAGGACGAGAGGAATTTTGTTGCCTTCTAGAAAGAGATTTCGTGTACTTCAAATTGTCTTCGAACCATAAAGAGATTCACCATTTGAAATAGATTTAGGAGCGAGTACCCTATTTAAATGCAACATGATGATATGCAGCCAAAATACTTGCAACTGTTTGGGAGGTATCTCTCTTCTTGATCATCCAACACTAATAATTCCTTGACAACTTCATCATAAATCTATCTTTAATATAAAGACTCCTAAACTCCACATATCCCATAAAGAGATGGATAACTCCCCAAGTGACATGTGATGGGTAATAGTTGAGCGACACTAAAACTCGCAAAAAGCTCGAACTATGTAGTTGTTACAATCATAAGTGTATAGAGAAGTTATCACAACGTCAAACAACCAAGCAATTTGAAGTATTTTCTCCTTTCGAGCCACCACAACAACTACATATTCCCAATAATAAATAATATAAAGTAATTCTCCATGTATCTCTAACGAAGGACCCCAACGAACTTCACTTCCAATGATTCGACAACCTAGTATGAACTCTTAATTTGACCTAATTCCTTGTTATGTACCAAAGTGTCTAAGAACCATGCCTTCAAGTAAAAATAACAAGATCGTCCATTTTCCTGCAGTATGGGGCTTCGCCCTAAACGGGGTGGGGAATCCCCATTTAGGTTCTGTGCGAGGCAGAGATGGGAGAAGATTTTTCCTCGGAGAATACATTTATAGTACAGTTCCTCGGCCCACTCCTATATATATAGACACGCACACACAAAAGAAATAAACAACTAGAAGTCTATTAAATTGTTTGTGACTTTCATAGATATCATACCAACTCTACTACTTTTAACTTGGGCAGCAGCAGAACATTTCTCATAATGTGCACAAACAACAATATGCTATCAGAAAAATCATACAAAAAAAAAGTAACTTTCCTTTTACATTATCATCGTAAGAGGAAGTTATTTATAATAGTGATTGTTTCGTGAAAAAAAAATAAAGGTGAACATCCACCAAAGTCATAGATGAATTCTTTAATATAAGAAAAATAATAATAGAAAGGCAACCAGGCCGAAAAGTACAAATCAGAGGGAAAATAGTGTAAAGTTTTTTACGCTAAGAGGCAACAATTAGAATCAATGGGCATGAGCTTGCTCATCGTAGGATGTGGAATCAATGATGAGAACTAATTCTTAAAATTTTATTTTAATTTCACGTAGAAACAACATATAAAAAGAATATTAAGGATTATTACTTGAAGCAGAAGATAAATTGATTTAGAAGATAATAGAAAGAAACTACAATTCAATTTTCTAAATTAACAACATGACCCAAAAGTTATAGAAATGAAATCAATAAAATGGCCAGAGACTATTCAAAATGGAAAATAAATAAATAACAGGCATCCCATTTTATAAAAAGGCATGCATTTGTTGCTCATAAAATCAGTCCACTTTATTCATACCTCTCATCCATCATAGATTACAAGCTGCAAATTATAATAGAAAAGCTATTAAGCCACCTTATACTATAAGACATAATTTATATGAGCAAGAATCAATAACTATCCACCACCACATTTGTAATTAAAGTACTTCAAGCAATTACTGAATTTGGAATGTTATTGGCTGTGACATAATGACCACACTCAACATCACTATTTTGGAGTGGGAACTATATTTCTTTTTATATTGGTGAGTATCCGGACCAGCTTATACACACCTCGACAAATCTCATGAGCAACCGTCTGACCCTACAACATTTGGTACAGAGAAACACGTAGGAATTACTAATTCCTAAGGTAGGTGGCCATCATGAAATTTGAACTCATTCCCTCTTAATTACCCTAACCCTTTTAGACCAATGAGCCACCATGGTGGTTGGGGTGGGAACTATATTAAACAACATGAATATCCTTCACAAGTAGAATGGAAGACAAAACTGCTCATATTGTGTTTTATACCGTAAGGTTTCTACACTGTTTTCGAGGCGCACCCAGGCGCTCGCCTCAGGCGAGAGGCGAGGCATTTTCGCCCAGCTGCGCCTTGCA